CCAAACCTCATCCATTGCGGTCACTCTACTAAAGACTCCACAAACAGGCCAATTTTTATCTACAACATGATTTATAAATCAATTGTGAAAAGTGGGTCTTATATTGTACAGTGGCATTAAGTGCCGTAATGTGCACCTCTGCCTACTCCTTCAGGGATAAAAGGCGTGATGTTATGTTATGCTTTATAAATAACCATATAACACTTAAAATGATAATCTATCTAACCATTTTACTTCAAAAGGCGTTTATTCTAACCCTTTCATTAAGAAATTTCTTTTAAACGAGCATCCTATAGAATTACAGAGTATTTTAATTAAAGAAATCTTCCATCTTGCTTGATCTATTCATTTTAATTATAGACCAAAGGAAAGTTTGGTATAAAAATATTTCCATTTTATTTATGAGAGATATCCTCTGTTAATAATCTTTTGTTTAATTATTGATTGTTTTGATTGGTTGGGTGGTAGTTGGAGCGGCTGTCAAGCAATTGATGCCGGGTTCTTGGGTGGTATAAAGTAGGTATTAGGGATTTTTTGGTTTTATTAAAGTTTCTTTGTAATAACACATTATTCGAATGTGAATCAAATCCAAAACCTTTAGTTGTTAGCGCAGTGGATGGGCAACTGACTGCTGCCCAATGTTTCGCGGGTTCAATTATTGTTCAGTGTCTTGATGCCATGTTTGGATCTCAAATTGTGTGTTTGTAAACGCACACATAACATAGGAGACAATCCTAGTTTAAACCACGTCATTTATATACAAATATGGGATCTATTGACTTAAAACAATGCCTTATTCCTGTTCCGAAAACAATGAACAAAAAAGAATAGTACTATTCTACTTTACTTTACCTTAATTCGTAAAAATAAAAAAAAAACTACACACTTATCTATTTCTCTGCTATCCCTACAACTTCGCAACTGAAAGTTAGACCGATTTAAGTTGTTTCAGAACTGAAAACTTCACGAAGTACGCCGCTGAATTTTTACCCACTTTCACCGTTTTTTGTGTGCAATAGAGGTACCTATATAGAGTAGGCGTACTCTAATATCTTAATACTTTTAACGGTTTTAGTGTAGGTAGGGTAAGTATCTACTTTCAAAAGTTTTATTTAAAAACTTTTCCGTTTTTGGTAAGGGTAGGTTTTTAAGTGATTTTGAACGTTGTATTTGAAAGTTTTATTTGTTTAATGACGCTCATTTAAATGCAACCGTTGGTCTTTCTTTACCGTTGTAGCGAGAGATTATAAGATATGTATGGTGTTTGTACATCCAGATAGTTAGGATGCCTTGATAATACGATAGCTATTGTCATAAGTATATATATACAGTGCTATTTCTAAAACCGGTAAACGAGCAGGTGGATCACCTGATGGTAAGCAATGGACACCTGGAATACCAGAGGCGTTATATTTGCGTTACCGGCCTAATGGATACCTAATTTGAGGATTGTTGGGGATTCATGGATTGGGAAAGAAGGGAAGGGGTAATTGAGCCTCCAGTAAAGTAACCTCACTCATACGACGGTACACAACGCAAGCGTTGCTTCACGTCGGTTTTCTGTGAGGCCGTGGTATCACTACGATCGAGCAAGCCTATTCGTGGCGAAGCATGGCTCTCCTACACTTAAAACTCTCCGACACTGTAAACGCTCGTAATACATACAGCTTCTGATTAATTTTGATAATTACACATGTGCATGACAGCTGATAAGATGATAGATCATAATCATCATTCTGGTTCATGATATCCCTCTATATTAATAATAGAATTAAAAATCAAAATCGATTACGAATACAAAAACTTGTGGTTTTAAATTTACTACCTACATATCAAGTGGACACTTGGTCTACAATGCGAATATATAACTATTATGTCAACATCTTTCATGAACTCATTGAATAAATAAAAAAATAAAATAAAAATAAAATAGCCCTTTATCCAACTAATAACTGTTAAATAATTTAAAATTGCCTAAGATTTGCATTACTTAGGTCTAGTATCTATAAAATACCTATTACTTATTTTTTGGAGATCTGTTTGCCCGTCGGCAAAGGCCTCCTCCAACCTTTTCCATTCATTTCGTTCTTGAGCTACTCTGTGCCATGTAATTCATTGAATAGGTAACTATAATTTGGAAAAAAGTGAAAAAAAGACACTCATAATACGAATACCTACTTCTTAAACTGAGTTATAAAACTGTCTTTAAAATGCTTTAGAAACCCGTAACATCCAATTCACCCACAAAACAAAATACACACAAATAACAAAGAAAACCGACCAACCGTCTAGGTTTTAACTTTAAAACATCGTCTGAAGCGAAGGGTCCAACATTTGTCGGCTGAAGACTCAAGAAAATAATTTTATTTTAGCAAAATTGAAACTGTTTCAGCCATTTTCTTGTACAAATTTTAATATCTGAGGAAGATACAGCTAGGCTATATTTATATTTTTCCTCCACCCTACTTCTTTTGGCGATTATTATTCTGTATTCCAATGGGCTCGGTGGGAGGCCCCCCACCCCTTCAACTCTTTCCTTTTTGCTTCTTAAGTCCATCTTGAGACAGCACAGCGGTTGGTATGGAGTTGTGTTTGTGTGTTTTTCTGTTTGGTCAGTTATTATGTTACTTTTTGTAGTCATTTTAATAGTTGTAGTTAGCTATAGTACATTATTACTAACTTATAGTAATGAAACAGCATAACGTACTTTCTGTTAAGATAACAATCAGTACCTACGCCCTTAATTATGACATTAAATAAAAATGTGAAAGTCAAAGCATTTATATCAATTAATCCCTGATTAGGAACTTTTGAACCGTCAAATTGAATTGTTAGTGAAGCTAGGTGTCCGTTCTGAAGTGTTGTTTGGAATAGAGAAGAACGAACAAGAAGAAACATCGTTAATCTTTTCTGTTGACTGCCTCTATTACATTACTAACAAACCATTTATTAATTACAGGATCGAACATTGCTAATTTGCTATAGTAGCAGCAACATTCGATTGTTAGCGTAGCGAATGCTACGCCCTGCTACACGTCAGCGTAGAAAAGCGCTACGATCCTAGTGGCGTAGCACAGCTACGCTTCCAATGTATGACGCACCCGCTACGATTATTTGAGACGGCAGTGCATAATAAATTATGTACCATGAATCGTAGCCATAGTAAATATTTTTATTAACAAATACTTCGTCTTCAGGAACAAACATAAAAATCACCATAAAATCATCGTAAAAAATACACAGAAAACAACTCCACCCCATTCCAATTCTCTGCTTCTGTCATTTACCCCTTTTACTGGAAAAACCGTGGCACCTACCCGGAAGGGGTTCGATATTTAAATATAAGAAGAACACCCCCTTTTTTCAAGGGAGAACCTTCCCCACCCCTTGGATTTATGGATCTGGCCCGGAGTGGTGCCTAATTACTTATCTTTGAGAATACAAATCAATCGCGAAGGAAAAACCCTTTTGGTAGGAATCTCACAAAATGTAACACTTAAATATTACTTAGAGTGATATTAACTGTGCTGTTGAGACGAGATTAACGGTTTGTTTAGTTAACCACACAATCGTTCGGTTAACTGTTAACCGTTGTTAGTGGTTCTGCGGGAATGGGGGCCTCTGTTTGCAATTTTAGTTTATTGAAGTGTGATAATTTATGTTAGGAGGAACATTGAAGCTTTTAAATAATATATTATTACGTTACTGCCTCGTTGGTCGAGTGATCGCAAGTGCGACTGTCGGGCAATGGGTCTCGTGTTCGATTACCGAGTTGGGTAAATTATTACTGGGTTTTAAAAAAAATCTCAGTAGTAGCACGGACTCTCGAATTATTTTCGGTATATGGAAATAGGCTCACTGCCTATTACATGGGACTCCTAATATAAATAATGAAAAGTGGGTGTTACTTTGTACAGTGGCATTACCTCTTCGGAGATAAAAGGGCGTGATGTTATGTTATGTTAATCCTACGTTACTTAAGTATGGGACGAAAAGGAAAGTAGTATTTTAATATAATTGTCAAAATATTGATCTATTGGAATCATTTATAAATACTGTAGTATTTTACATTCCACTCGCGTATTGTAGTGTAGCCTGTCGGCATTTTTGAACCGATATAGTCATGAAACAATCAAGAAATTATGAGCTTCCTTCTTTTTAAAACAATATATCAGTGCCGGTGGCTAATGGGAGGTACCGATCACTTACAATTTGGCAATCCTCGTCTGCCTGTTATCCCATGAAAACTCTGTGTAGTTTAACTCGCCGAGTACCGGTTTTGTAGACACAATTATAGAACAATAGGTTGCGGTCACCGGTGACCGCTTGGTGTTTGACAGTTGAAATAGTACTGTGAATGCTATAAAGTTGTACTGATACCTAACTTATACACAGCGTTGCGTCGCCGTTGTTGTTGTTTTCATTGCCTGGCTTGAGTTCCATCACGGTTGACCATTTTCGAATTTAGGTACTTGCCAACTAGTAAAATTCAATACTTTTTTCGAACTGTCAACAACACAGTTTTCTATGAATTTTGAATTTGTACCAGTTTGTGTATTGTGACGTCACGTTTTTTAGCAGAGAAAGGCATACTTATTTTTTTAAAATTTGCTGGAAAAATACTATAATTAAATTGGTTATAAAGTTAATTAATGAGAGTGTGATTATTTTTTTATATTTGATTGTATTGATCAGTCGAAATAATTTATTTTTGATTAAGGAAAGTACCCAATTGTTAGTATTAATGTAGGGGTACAATGGAAACGAATGTAGCTGTATTAAGTTAGCATCAATTGCAAATTTGATGAAGTAAGTCGTGTGTGTCGCATAAAGTGTTGTGCCTTCCGTTTAATTGGCAATCGTTTGGTTATGAACTTGACTAGGAAAGAATAAGCATTTATGTTTGATATTGACGCACTTGTTGACTATTTGTAGTAATAAAAGATGTAATTAATGTGATGTTCTTGGTATATTTTTAATTACAATAATTTTAAATATATTGCTTCTTCTTTTGCACATAAAACTCGACTCTTTTAAGGTCTTCATGGATCTGAAAATAAATAAATAATAACATATTATCTGTCGGAACGGTCATTAGTACGAGATTTCGATTTACTACAAAACGAAGGAATAACAACAAAATGAATAAAGATGGCGCGCTTCAAGAGTTAATTGTGACGTCATGTCCGCCTAAGAGTGGGGGAGATTGAGTGACTTTCAACATCGCAGAACAGCAGGCACTTTTTGGCTGGGACTCCGAGCGGGCGGCGGCGCGCTGGGAATGCTGTCGGCCGAATAATGATTGCAATCATCAGAATCAGTGCTGTGAAATTGTCATTGACATTATATTGTTTGAGATTATAACTGTGAATATTATTACAATGTAAGTGGACTAAACTTTGATGTATTTTGACCATTTGTGAACTTTGAAAGGGACTGAGACCTCTGAGTTTGTTTCGGCGTTTCTTCTCAGAGTAGTCCGTAGGAAATGCCGACTCTGTGAAATTGTCATTGACATTATATTGTTTGAGATTATAACTGTGAATATTATTACAATGTAAGTGGACTAAACTTTGATGTATTTTGACCATTTGTAAACTTTGAAAGGGACTGAGACCTCTGAGTTTGTTTCGGCGTTTCTTCTCAGAGTAGTCCGTAGGAAATGCCGACTTAATTAAAATGCGAACAAGTAAAGGTGCACTGTCGAAAGTAAACGTTACTTTATTTACGAAGATTTAATTGTTTTATTACTGCATAAACATACCTCTACCGATATATATGACGAAGAGGGCTCTCGCTTGACATCGCCCATACCATCCTCCGACATATCAATTCAATCAATTTCTTCTCACAAAATTGGGTTGTTTCCTTATTCAAAAATAAATTATTTTGATTTTTCAGTTCAATTTAATATTGATAAATAGTTACACTTCCATTCATTGTTTTGCCGATGTACTTAATTTTCGATTTATTCTAGCATTTTTTTTAGATATAAGTGCTATTTGACGCGAAAATATAATGACGTCATAAGATGGTATTTCGTACAAAATTCATAGAAAATTATCGTTTTTGACGTTTCAATAAAAGTATTGATTTTCACTAGTTGTCAACTATTGTATTGAACCATTAAAACTATGTACCTAACTAAAGAATTGTATTGTGAACATGATTGAAAAAGAGTAACCTATGGAGTTTCTTGCTCGTTCTTCTCCATATGAATCTATACCTTGGAATATGCAAATAGCTTCACTTTTAAATTTTTTGTTGACGTTCAAAAGTGTCTTCCGGGTCTTTACTTTTTTTACCTTTTTACATTATATAATATAACTTTATTTAACTCGTCGAGTACCGTCATTATAGACACAATTATAGAACAATAGGTTGCGGTCACCGATGACCGCTTGGTGTTTGACAGTTTAACGTGTTGTGAGTGACTTACTTTTCGTAAGTATTGTAGTTTGAAACCGGGATACCTACTATTTAAACTAACTAGCTAAAACTTTGAGTTGCGTTTCAAAAATTGTACATGATCATGATAGACATGTAATGTCAAATACTTTTTGACCCTCGAAGGCATAAGCAGAGTTTATCTAGACTTTATCTTATTTATGTAAATACATAAAATGTAGGACAACTCAGTTTAACTTGATCTAGTGAAAACTCCTATTCAGTAGACAGGTTAAACAACATCACGCCTTAAACCCGAAGGGGTAGGCAGAGGTGCACATTACAGCACTTAATGCCACTGTACAATATAACACCCACTATTCACTATTTATGTTATGAATCCCATGTAATTGGGGATGAGCCAATTGCCATATACCGGGCACAATTCCCGACACCCTGCTATGACCTGGGCTTGGGCTGAATCGAATCCGAGACCCAGCAGTCACACTTGCGACCACTCGGCCAACGAGGCATTCAACTCATTTAACTTAAAACACTCATTTGGTATTAAACCAACTTGATTATCAATAGCTTGTGACCACAGCTGAACTATGGACCTCTACATAAAAATAATCCTTAGACACTTATCAAGAGGGTTGGAAATTGCACTTTATACGTACAGTTCAGGTTTATTTATTAATTAAAATACTTTGACCACTATCTCGCTTGTTGGTAAGCGATGATGCGGTCTACGATGGAGCACGTCGTCCCATAAGCAACTCCTTCACTCGGGTCTTGAAGACACCCAGGTTATTTTGTCACAGAGCGCTGTTGTCCAGTCTCTGTTATACCATATTTACGTCACTTCATTGGCTCTGCTGGGTAGCCGGTGCCGAGTACCGGTATATAAATTACGCCGGTACGTGTGTAAACTACAGTACATGGCCATACAATGCGCCGCCAGAGAGAACCTAACAGGTAACCGGGGCTCCGGCTCGACGTGCAGGAGAAGGAACGGGGTGGTTTTTAGTCAGTAAGAGTCTGACACTCCCTCCCGCCTCAACCAGGCGGGAGCAGTCATTCGATGATTTTCCCCCCTAAAAAAAAAAAAAAAACCCAGGGTGATGACATACATATATACTTCTTCGTCGTGACCATACGTCATTAAGCAACTACATTATACACACGTTTAAGAACAAATAGGTACCTAATTAATTAATAAGTTCATAATTTCTTCAAAGTATTTTCTTAACAGAGAATATTCAAAATAATACGAAGTATTTTATACAAAAATACAATGGCGACTTGAATAAAACAGCATCTTTTGTAAAATAACACGGCGGGGTGAGGGGTGGCGCGGTGCGAGGGGGGCGGGGGGAGGGGGCACGGCCATCGCGAACCACTTTTCTTTCTCTCGCCAAAGCCATTTTGAAAGGAGCGGCGGAATAGTGTGGATGCGGTCTTGTCTAGGTCTTGGGATTGGTAAAAAAAGGCCGGTGACGAAAAGGCTCTACTAAATGGGACTACAATTTAGACATACATACATAAATAGTTGCCGACCCACAGTCGAATTGTCAAAATAAGGTAGTTTCCTAAATTTTATTTTAATGTCTATCTGGTAGATTAAAATAAAACATTAGACACGTATTTTTTCTTTTCTTACAAAATTAAAGACTTTCGACGATTTATTGATTTGAAGTATGATGTGACGTCGCAATTTACTACATTTTATAGGGTGCGGTGACGTAAAGACCTCCCACTCCTAAACTTAACTCCGTTTTATCGAAGTATTGTTTTCTTATATGACAAAATAAAAAAATACGTGTCTAATATTTTTTCATTATCTATCAAAGAAATATTAATAGTAAACTAAACGTTGTAATAAAATCTTTTTACATTTAAAAATACCGAATTAATTACTTTACAAAATAGGGAAATAGACCGTTGGTAGCAAACATCTAGACATTATTAGGCTTGTCTTGAATAGGTTCTCATAATTTTAATGTATTGTGTAAAAAAGGTACCTAAAAAATAAATGTCTATCAAAGGCACCGTGTCCACACTAACCTATACCCTGGTCGACTCAAGTCGGGGGCGATGCGATGTTTTTTCATTCGTTTTATATTAAAATCGGGCGAGCCAAGGAAATTGTCAGTCAGATAGGAAATTGCGAACGCCTTCGAGTCGTCCCGGAATCGTCCCGTAGTCGTCTACGAGTCGTGACCGGACGACTTTATAACTACTGAAGCGTTATCAATTGTAATGACTTTGTTTTTATTGGTACAAATAATTGGTGGAGTTGATTTTGTTTGCGAAGGCCGGCTGGTATGGTTGTGTTGAAGGCAAGTTTCTAATGCTTGGGTTGCGCAAAGAAATATTGTGTTTTTTACGAATCTGTGGAATAAAATCTCCATTATATTAAAGACTACGATTAGTTCACTAAAGAGGGGTGAAGATAAAAAAGTAGTTCATGCTAATCATTTTATACATAACTAGCTACTTCCACGCGGTTTCACTCGCTCTGCTCTGCGCCTATTAATCGTAGTGTGATATTTTATAGCCTATAGCCTTCCTCGATAAATGGGCTATCCAACACAGAAATATTTTTTTAAATCGGACCAGGAGTTTCGGAGTTTAGCGCGTTCAAACAAACAAACAAAAAAACAAACTCTTCACCTTAAAATATTAGTATAGATAATATCATAAAAGTATTTAAATAGTATTTCAAATATTTATCCCCACATTTTTTTTATTAAACACATCTTTTAAGCTGTTGTATCTAACAACAGCAACAGATTAACATCACTATTAAGTAGCCTTACTGTTCTCGTGAGCTTTTTTTTCGGGTGGAAATTATCGAATGAATTCTCAAAGTCGTTCGTTGTCAGTCATTTAGTCATTCGTCAGTCATTCGTCAGGCGGTGTCAGACTTTTACTGACTAAAAACCACCCATTCCTACTCCTTCGAACCAGAGCCCTGGTAATCCTTTACGTTCTCCGCGGCTCCGTATCGGCATCAGCCTTAGAGGGCTCCATCCGTGCCTGCGGCCTGCGGAACGCGACGCGCCGTACGCTCGGGTCTGGTTCTGGTCGGGCGGCGATCTACCCATGCTCGCTGTCCGCAGGCCCGTGCATACGGCGGCAGGAGATTGTCCCGTGATCCCCGACACCCGGAGTGTCCTTCATGACGGCTAGGTTGTGAGGATTGTTCTCGTAGGTGTCACATTTAATAGACATCGGGCAGTATTTAATAAACCTGAACCTTTTAGACTACGATCTCAAACCCGTGACAAATCCTCCTTAGAAGAGAATGCCAACTGTCAAAAACGACAGTTTTCTATGAATTTTGTACGAGATTGTGTATTGTGACGTCACGTTTTTTAGCGTCAATCAGCATAATTTATTTCTTAAACATTTGCTGGAAAAATACTAAAATGAAGTTGGTTATAAAATCAATTAATGAAAGTGTGATAGTTTTTTTATGGCATAAGCCGGTAAACGGGCAGATGGATCACCTGATGGTAAGCAATCGGCGTCGCCCATGGACACCTGGAACACCAGAGCCGTTACAAGTGCGTTACCGGCCTTTTGGGGATTACGAGGATGAGGATCGTTAGGGATTCAGGAATTGGGGAGATTGGGGAAGGGGAGGGTAATTGGGCCTCCGATAACCTCACTCACACGACGAAACACAACGTAAGCGTTGCTTCACGTCGGTTTTCTGTGAGGCCGTGTTATCACTCCGGTCGAGTCGGCCCATTCGTGCCGAAGCATGGCTCTCCCACACTTAACTTATTTTTAATAGTTATATATATATTTTTATAGTATTGATTGAACAGCCGAAATAAGATAGATATTTTTGATTAAGGAAGGTAGGTACCTAATTGAAACTAAATCATGTCTTAATCATAAAAAGATTTTCTTAATAACAGACAGTCTAAACAATTTCGCTTTTAGTTCATAAAACTCATTAATTTTTTAAAAGTAAGTAAATATTGAAAGAAACATTTGAAGCTCAAGTTTAATTATTAAAACGATGAATTATTCATATCAAAAGGTATTTCTTGATGCTGAATGAATCGTTGGTCGAGTGGATATTAATGTGACTGTTTAGCTCGGGTTCGATGTACAGGTCAAACGTAACAGTATAACGTATGGGGAACAGATTTACACAATAAATGAAACTATGAAGTAGTTCTATTACACAGGAGTAAAACACGACTAAATAAATTTGAAAATCTTGGTAGTATTAGGGCAGATGTCATGTCATCATCCCTATTTTGAGTATGAGCACTTCTGCTTAGCCACCGGTTATACCTGTTTGATACAACATAAACAGATAATAATGAAATCCCAGTAAGGAACCTTAGACTTGCCACGACTTTGTCTAGACCTAATTACAATTTAGAGATGAACGAGCAGCTCCATCGAGTCTTGGCTAGTTTTTTTACAGAATGTTTTTGGTTACATTTCACTTCTTTGAAACTTGGGCATTTTACATAACATAACATAACATCACGCCTTTTATCCCCGAAGGGGTAGGCAGAGGTGCACATTACGGCACTTAATGCCACTG